CGGGGCCAAGTGTCGCGGCGGCGCACCTCGCGGCGAGGATCAGGAGGAGGAGGAGACTGCAAGGATAGGCCCAGGTCGGTGCGAGGGACGCTGCTGGAGGGCAGGTGCAGAGCCCAGTCTGAGACATTTCCCCCTACCCCCCAACTCGCTCATTCCCAATCCTCCATTTTGATGCCTGCAGAGGTCTAGTGATGAATTTGTAGGAAAAATGGTGGGTTTGAGGGGGGGAGGGGAGAAGTGAGAGGAAAGGGGGAGGAATCAAACCTGAGGCCCCCTAGAGGGTGCACGAGGCTTCTCGGCTGGGGAGAAAATGAAAATGAAACAAATAAAACTAAACGTTGATAGCCTGTTCTCGCAATCTTGACAAATGAATAGTAGGGCCTCTGTCCTAGGTGCTGAACACCATCCACCAAAAATTCAATCACTTCTCTCCTTTTGTCTCCTAGGAGTAATGGAATCCAAAGAGGAACGAGTGGTCAAAAATATCAACATGGAAAATGCCCAAAAGGCAAATGAAGAACAGGAACAAGTTGCTAATAAAGGGGAGCCTGTGACTCTTCCTCTGGAAGCTCGTGAACACTGTGTGCCTAGAGGAAACCGTAGGCGGTTCCGCGTTAGGCAGCCCATCCTGCAGTATAGATGGGACTTGATGCATAGGCTGGGAGAGCCACAGGCAAGGATGAGAGAAGAGAATATGGGGAGGTTTGGGGAGGAAGTGAGACATCTGATGGAAAAGCTCAGGGAAAAGCAGTTGAGTCATAGTCTGCGGGCAGTTAGCCTTGACCCCCCTCACCATGGCCATCGTGATGAGTTTTGCCTTATGCCCTGAATCCTGCTGTCTTCCTTTAAGTTAATAGGGAGACCCCTGCTTCCTAAACTCACATGTTTGTGATATACTCTTGTTGTAAACCTTTTGGTGTCACTCATTATTGTGGGTTTCCTATTTCCAGCCTTTAACTGAGTGTCGTGTTTTTTGGTCCAGTTTGTAAGAATTTCGTTTGCAGGGGAGTTTTACCTATTGCATGGAAAGATGTTCATTATGTATTGTGAAGTTAATAAAGCAGTTTTAAAAAAGCAATCTCTGTATTCTTTTTTTGTTCAAAATCTTATGTTTATTTAATATATGAAAAGTGTTGAAATTAAATATACCAAAGCATTAATACAGGTGCTGATTTCTTTGAGATGGGTTGATGTGTTTTTCATATGTTCTGTTTGGTAGTTTGAAAAGAAATGAAACAGTTTTTAATGACCTTATGAAAGCATTAAATACATGATGGCCAAAATTTAGATCTTTTAGGCAAACAAGTAAACCCAAGAATTTTGTTTTTTAAGTTGGAGATGTTTTGTAATTTGTTTTGTACTTTGCTTCATATGACTGAATAATTTTGACTTTTGACTCGGAATTTCTGCGATGATAAATTTCTGTGTGAATATCTGAATTCAGTTGTGAGAAGCATTAAAGTGTAGAGGATGAAACCATTATGTTTACTACATAATAATGTAAAGTATGTACACTAAAAGTTAACAGTGGTTATCTCTTTTTTTAAGAATTATTTTATTTAACTTCATTTAATATAATAATAATGATTATTATTTTAATTTGACCAGAGAGAGAGAGAGAGGGGAAGTAAGACAGCAAGCTGCCAGGGCAGGGACTCGAACCATGGTCAACCATGTAGGAATCCAGTGCCTTTAATCACCACGCAGCCTGCCGGCCCGAACAGTGGTTATCTCTTGTAAGTTGTTTGCTGATTTCTTTTTCTTTGTACTCAACTGAGTTTTTCTTTTTTGAGAGATTTCCGTTATATCGCGCGTGCACTCGCCAGACAGAGACATAGAGACAGAAAGCGAGAAATCACCCCCCAGGGGGGATGGTCACGCCGCAATCCCTTCTCCTCTGGTCTCCACTCAGGATCTTGGGCGCTCACGCACATGCGCCCGGCTTGAGTTTAAGCCACCAGGTCCGGGACACGAACCGCGGTCGACTATGTGGGAGTCCAGCAACATAGCCATTATGCTAACTGCTGGTTCCCATCAACTGAATTTTTGTTAAAGATCATGAATTACTTATAAAAAGAAATACAAAGGCAACAACAATTCCAGATCCAAAAAACTTTTGTGAGCTTATAAATGCAATGGAGACATTTAAAAATTCCTATTCACAAAACTCAGATACAAAGATTTAGGATATGGTATTGATGCCCTGGTGTAAGTAGCTCTCCTATTGAGCGTGTGCAGGATCACAAAATCTTGCTTCAAATGAAGAGCATACTGCAAAAGTGAGGGAATATCACTTTAAGACTGGTTTCTATCTTGGTATCAGATTCACTGTCTCCCTCTTCCCTTTCCAGCATCTTCTTGTCAACTTTTGTGAAACAAGCTGCCATGTTGGAGAGGCACATATAACAAGGAACTCAAGACAGAGAATGTCAGGACCAGCAGTTGGCATAATGGCTATGTCACTGGACTCCCATGTAGTCAAACGCAGTTTGAGTCCTGGATCCGGTGGTTTAAACTCAGCCGGACGTGTGTGCATGCATGCCCAAGATCCCAAGAGGAGAATGGAGGGGAAGGAACTGTGGCATGGTCATCCTCCCTGGAGGGTGATATCTCGCTTTCTGTCTCTCTGTCTGTCTCTCTCTTCCTGGCGAGTGCATGTGCCCTATAGCAAAAACCTTTTTTAAAAAAAAGATGTTGAAAAATACATTTTGGGATATATTTAGAAACTTGAAAAGGACTGAGAATAAAATGTTGTCTGGGAATCATTTTAGTTTCATGAGATGTGTTTTGTGGCTACAAGAAAATATTTTTCCTTTTTATTTTTTTTGCTAGAGGTATGTGTACTCACCAGAGAGAAACAGTGAGACAGAGAGAGGGAGAGGAGAAAGCACCCCCCATAGTGAATGGTCACACAGAAATCCATTCTCCTCCATCTCTCTCTCCCCCTTTGGAATTTTGAGTATGCACGCACACATATCCGACATGTTTCTCAAGCCTCCAAGTGGGGTTAGCCATATTGAAACTGGTTGCCTTAACCGCCAGCCCAAAGATCTGGCCCTATTTTTGTCATTTAGAACAGCATGGTATTTTGTCTCCGTAGTACTTGGTTGTATCCTTTCTAACCACCATGACACCTGCCAGCCCCCAGCATGTATCTAAAGGATAATGATGCTTTTAAAACATAGCCACAGCATGATTATAACCCAAAAATTAACAATTACTTGATGTCCAGTGTTCAAATTTGCAGTGGTTTCACTATTTTAACCCTATATATGAACAGAAAATAAATTAGCTGCCCAAGCAACACTATTGCCCTTAACAGGTTGTAAAGAACAGGAATCATCTATTGTAATACTTTCTATTGGGAAACTGACAGAAGAGTGTGTTTGAAAAAATCCTTAGACCCAACATAGACCTGGGGGCCACAGACTCTGAAAGTCTAGGAAATGCTAAGAGAAAAACTGGTCTGTCCTATGCACTGAAAATTTAGGGTAGGCATCACACACTCAAATGAGTAACCCAAAACAGTTATTCAATATTCTAGTATCTGCATTCTGCAGAAGTCTTGGCAAAACAATGGCAGTTAGTCAGATTTTTCAAAATAAATTAACTCTAGAAGAAAAAATAAAATATGTCTGCTAAAAAAAAAAAAAAAACTGACTTCCAAGCAGACAAAGATGGAAAATTGCAGGCATAAGTCATAAGATTACCAATAATCCTTGTGATTTTGTAAATAACTGCAACAAAAGGTTTTGTTACAGTGCTATCAGAGGAAACATGGAACTGAAACAACAGGATGCATCAATAGGTGTAGGAAACCATTTCATCATTCAGTTTGATTAATAAGGTATGGAGTATTTCACCAAAGAGTCATTTGTTTTTCAAGAAGCACAAAATTTAGGGGAATGATGTAAATACATGGAGGATATAATTTGTGGATTCTCAGGACCTAAAAAATCTTCTAAATCAGTACATACTCTATGAGTTACAAATGAAATCTGGGACAATGGACATGCTTTTCCATCTCTGTGGATAAAACAAGAAATGATTTGAAATGTACTAAAAATGTTGAAAATATTTAGAACTCCAATCAATGTCATATGGAAGCAGTCCCATGGAGGCACAGTCATGGGAAAGCTTCAGGCAAAAAAATGATAATACTGGGACCAGCAGTTAGCGTAATGGCTATGTCGCTGAACTCCCATGTAGTCGATAGCAGTTCAAGCCCCAGACCTGGTGGCTTAAATTCATACTAGTCGCATGTGCATGTATGCCCAAGATCCCGAGAGGAGAATGGAGGAGAAGGAATTGTGGCATGGCCATCCCCTCTGGGGGGTGATTTCTCACTTTCTGTCTCTCTGTCTCTCTCTCTGTCTTTCTGATGAGCACACATGCCCTATAACAAGAACCTCTACAAAAAGAAAAGAAAAGAAAGAAAGAAAAAGAAAGAAAGAAAGAAGAAAGAAAGAAAGAAAGAAAGAAAAAAAGAAAGAAAGAAAGAAAGGAAAGAAAGAAAGAGAAAATGATAATACTAATATGCCTGTACAAGCAGGGTCTTGAAGATCGTTTAAGTGGTGTGGGTTAAAATAAGAGGTAGAAGTCCAAGCACAAACTTTAGAAGATTTTACGGAAAGAAACCGTAAAATAGATGACATAAGTGTAGGGTAAGAGATAGCATAAGAGAGAAGGAAAGATGCAATAATAGGGCAAAAAAATACAAAAAATTTGAAGGAGTCAGCTTATTTTGTTTATTTATTCACCTGATGGGGCTGACAGGAGGTGTGGTGGGTAAGGTGTTGGACTCCCACATGGCCAACTGCAGCTGAAGTCACAGACCCAGTGACTTGAAACTCATGCTAGGCACATGTGCATGTGTGACCAAAATCCCAAGAGAGTGCAGGAGAAGTGATTGTGGTGTGACCATTCGCCCTGGGAGATTATTTCCTGCTTACTGTCTCTCTGTGTCTTTGGTGAATACACGTGTCCTATAGCAAATTCTCTCTCAAAAAAATATTCAACTGACTCAATGTGGAAAATGCATTCAGAACCAATATTAATATTGATATCAATTGATATGCAAGGTACTAAAATCGATTTTTAAAATTACAATAAAAGTAGTTTAAGTCCAAACAGCATTTATAGTAAATGTTACAATAGATTAGAAATTATCTTCTGAATGTCAAGGGAGTAAAATTCACCACACACACACTATGAATCAATGTAATCAGCTGCCTAAATTAATGTAAATTTAGAGTTCAAAAAGATAGTATTTACAGAACCAAAGGAAAATGTATATGGGAAAATACAAAAGTCAGCTTCTATCACTTTATATTAGTCAAACTCAGAAAAAAAAATAGGATACCTGTGACAAAGACAATTATGTAATGATTAATATTTAATGACCACATTTCCAGTAAATTATTTGTAGTGTTAGCCTATTTCTGCTATATAAATTCCCACTTCAGTTGTTTTCCATCCAATATAACTTCACTTACTGAAGAATTAGGAGATATCAGAGATATACACAATTAGGTTTTGATAGCACGCTATTGGCTTACAGGCCTCCCTCATCAAGGTGACTAAAGAAGGGACAATACTATGTAAGGAAAATGAAAGATGAAAGTGAAGGGAAAAATGTCTGTTGTAAAGGAGATGTAGGGTGAATGTGGAGAGAAAGATGAAATAAAAAGGGATGAAGGCAGTTAGACAGAGACCAGTTACATGTATTAATCTTATGAATAAAAGAAACTAGAGCAGCATGTTTGTGTGCTTGAGAGAGAAAGAAAAAGATAGAGGGAGAAAGAGACGAAGAGATTGGTTGATTATCTGGACACTTGTAGGCAGTTTAAAAGAATGTTTGTATAAGCATGGACTTTGGAGTCAAGCAAACATAGTTCAAATATTAGCACCACTGCTTACAAGCTCCGTGACCTTGAACAAAGCTAGTCAATCTCCCTTAGCTATGTTTCTCTTATCTGGAAAATGTAGAAAGTATTTGGCAAGATGCCTGTAATATACTAAGCTCTCAGTAAATGTTAGGTGCTAATGATGTCAAACATGTAAAATGAACAAGAAACA